TTATAGAGTTTATAATGAGTAAAAGATTATATAAGGGTAATAATTCATCTGTAAACCTAGAAATGTACAGCCAATTTTGAAAGAGATGTACCCTAGCTCAGAAAAATGTTATTGAATAGGTTAATGCTGTTGTAATGAAATGCTTCTTTTAATTAAAATAAATAAAAAGAAAAAAAAAGGAAAAAAAATTAGGGGAGGGGAGGGGGCTTTGAGAGATGACTCAGTAGCTAAGAGAGTGTACTGCTCTTGCAGAGGACCAATTTTGTTTTTGTGTACCTACATTGGGCTCACAGGGGATCTGAAACCCTCTTCTTGACTTTGTGGGTACCTTACTCATGTGCACATACCCACATACAGACACACACACATACACATAATTAAAAATAAGAAGCCAGGTGTGGTGGCACATGCTTTTAATCCCAGCACTTAGAAAGCAGAAGCAGACAAATCTCTGAGATCGAGGCCAGTCTACTCTACATAGTGAGTTTCAGGCCTGTTGGGGCTACAGGGACACTCTGTCTCAAAAAGAAAAAATGATATGTCTAAAAAAAAATCGCCAGCCACAATGGTACATGCCTTTATACCCAGCACCAGGGAGGCAGAGGCAGGCAAATCTCTTGTGAGTTTGAGGCCAGCCTGGTCTACACAGTGAATTCCAGGCGATGCAGCTCTACATAGTGAGACCCTGTTTCTGAAGAGCCAGAATGCACTGACTCCAATTGGCTAGCTTCTTCAGACAAGCCCGGACAAGCTCAGACATACTGTAAATTTTTCCAATTGTTACCCCCCCCCACCGGAAGCTATGGAATAAGCAAGCTCTAAACATATAAAAGCCTTATAAGGTATGAACAAAAACTTCTGGCCCTAAAGATATCAGTCAGCACATTCCAATGCCCCTACCAATCAAGATTTCCCCAGTGCTCAGGATATGGGGACATCCAATTATTTTAAAAGATGCTTGGTGCGTGCGCGGGTTTGTGTGAAGTTCTTCAATAAAAGCCCCTGCCTGCTATTGTTCAGGGCTGGATGCCATCTTTGGCTTGTGGAGTCCGTGCCCAGCTAGCCGCTAATTTGGTTACTTTATACTTTAAATTTCTGAATAAAATTTTTATGAATTTTTCCTTCATGTCTGTGGGAATTATTCCTGACTCTCAGACCCTAACGTCTCAAAATAAATGATAAGGGGCTGAGATGACTCAGTAGTTAAGATCACTGGCTGTTCTTCCAGAGGACCTAGGTTCAGTTCCCAGCACCCTCATAGCTACTAACAATTGTCTTTAATTCCAGTTCCAGGGAATCTGATGCCCTCTTTTGGCCTCCACAGGCATTGCATAACACAGTGCACTTACATACATGCAGGCAAAACACTCATGCACATAAAATATAAATAAAAAGTATAATTTATAATAACACAAATAATGGGAATAATTATTTTTAATACTACTCTAATATTCAGTAAACATAAGGAAGTAGAACTTTTTTTTCTTTTCCAGTTCTGAAATAACAAAGTGTTTTGGTCTTTGTTTTTGTTTGTTTGTTGTTTTTTTGTTTGTTTTTTGTTTGTTTGTTTTGAGACAGCCTGGATTCACTATGGAGACCAGGCTGGCCTCAAACTCACAGAGATCTGCCCGCCTATGCCTCCTGAGTGCTGGGATTAAAGGCTTGCACCACCATGCCTGGCTTTGTTTTTGTTTTGAGATAGGGTCTCCTTGTATAGTCTAATCTTTCCTCAAACTGGTGAGCCTTCTGTTCAGCCATTAGAGTGCTGAGATTATAGGCAGGTACCGCCACAATCACTAACCATTCTTGACCCTGTGATGGCCCAATTCAGCTTGCCATCAACTTGTCTATAGAGAAGGGATATGAATATGAGCGATCTAGTGTTCAATACCTTCTTACATTCCAAAATTTTTATTATTTTGTGCATGTGAGAGAGAGAGAGAGAGAGAGAGAGAGAGAGAGAGAGAGGTGTTTGTGGGTACATTTGTACCGTGGCATACATGTGGAGGTCAAAGGACAACTATGAAAAGTCAGTTCTCTCCTTCCACCTTTATGTGAGTTCCTGGGATCAAACTCGGATAGTCAGGCTTGCATGGTAAACAATTTTACCCACTGAGCCATCTGCCTGGACTTTCAATGTATGTTTTAAATACATTTGTTAATACCTGGCAGGAGAGATATGATTATGAAAGTGGTTTTCCCAGGGCAGGGCTTATCCATTGAGTTCAAGATATGCTAACCCTTGAGATGTCCCAAATGTGGGAAACTCCACTGAATAATTTGTGGTAGTAAGGGACTGCATTTGCACTTTCCCTTATTCGTCCCCCTCTCCACTGGGTGGGGGGAGAACATTGTCAAGAACTAGGTAACTATAGCTTGTGTGGGTTTATTTATAGGTCTTCTATTAATCTATGTGGTTTTGTGCAATACCATGCTGTTTTTGTTACAATGGCTCTGCAGTATAACTTGAAGTTGGATATGATGCCTCCAGCATTGCTCTTTCTGCTTAGGATTGCTTTGGCTATTGGGAATCTTTTTTGAGTCCATACAAATTTTAGGATTATATTTTCTAGTTCTGTAAAAGATGTTGTTTGAATTTTGGTGGGGATTATATTGAATCTGTCAATTATTTTCAATAATGTAGACATTTTCATAATAAGAGGCTGTTCCATCTTTTAGTGTCTTATTCAAGTTCTTCAGTGTTTTAAAGTTTCTATTGTAGAAATATTTTATTTCTTTAGTTAGGTTTATTCCCAAGTTTTAAATTTTTTATGGCATTGAAAATGTACTTTTTTCCCTGTTTCTTTCTCAGAAAGTTTATTGTTTTTGAAGAAACAAAAAGGCTAGTCATCCAACTGATTACCACTAGATGAGGAACAGCTGACCCTCCTAAAACAAAGCCCTCTAGATAGGCTGACTAGATTCACTAGAAGGACAAGTAGTGGGGAATGACTGGGGGTGCCGACAACACAGAAGACAGCAGGGATATCAGAGTATAAGGGCTCTAGTGGGGGGAGGGAGGCTATGGGAGGGTGCTACCCGGGAAGTGGGTCTATAAAAAAAAATTCTTCAAAGCATAAAAATTTGCTCCTTAATAATTAGTAGATGTGAAAAACATTACCATTGAAATCTACCTGATGACTATATATCCATGTTTGTCCCGCCCCGCGGGAACTGCAACGGGGTACCTGGATTGGGGAGTGCGGATGTGGATGAGGCAAGGGGCAAGAGAAATGGAGACAAGACAGTGCTCTGATCACATCTCATTTATTGAAGCACAAGCATACAGTTAAATAAGGAATACAGACTGGACTGAATCATATCAGCCAGATAGCAAAGACCCAGGTGCACTCCAAGGGAGGAATCCACTGAGAGCAAGGCAGTTACTGGAAAAGAAAACAAGACCTCAGGCGAAGGCCACGGGCTCCATCCCGTGCCTACGAGAGTCTACTGATCAACAGAAAACAGGGCTATTTACAATAACTGGAGCAAGGCCATGGGCTACCAGCCCTGGCTATGAGCCAAGGTTGTGGGCTCAGGTTGTGGGCCCTTTCCCATGCCCACGGGAGGAGGGTGGACAGAATGGAAAGTCACCAACTCAGGTCTGTCAGCAGTTTTGAGAAATGGCTGAGCCTCTGGCTCCCAACAGGTCCCCCCTTCTTTTTATATTTTTAAAAGACAAAGTACAGGCCAAGACTGGGATGGAAAGACCTTGCCTGTCTTAGGTTGTCCTCTGCCAGAGTGAAAGCCGTTGGGGGCAGCCAGCATCCCGCTTTCCTCTGAGAGGATCTTACCCATCACTGGCTAACCGGCCTCCTGAAAGCTCCCATCAATTGGCCATGGCCTTGGGGAGGAAATGGGAAATACCACTCTGCCACAGTGTCACTGAGAGAGAAATCTGACTGCGGACCGGAGTCTGGAACTGAATCATGGTCAAACTGTGTGTAATTTGAATTTTGAATTTAGTGATATTGGCGGTTACCTTTACCCCAACCTGTGTTTTGTGTTGAGGGTAGGCAGAGCCTAAGTCCCCCCTCCAAGCAAACAAAAGGACCCTAAGGGGACAAACAGTGTACAGCACGGAAGGGCATTACATAAATGATTAAAACAATGGTGCACAAAGCATGTGGAACAATTAATGAATCACGGAGAGAATCACAGCATCACAGGCAAAGTCGAGAAAGGAGAACGGTGGGTGCCAGGCGGTGGAAATAGTCCATAGGAAATGCAAACAGAGTCCAAAAAACCAGTCCAAAAAAATTGGGAACACAGGATGCAATGATGGATGGTGTAGTGATGACACAGGTGGCATAGAGTCCAGAGATGTCGCAAAGCGAACGAAGCATTTAGGTACCCAACATGCATTGTCAGCATCCTACGGAAAAAACACAAACATGCCCTCTCCCCCAAATGAGGACAAAGGAGGATGTCACAATTTATCAGCTGTAGAGTGACCTAAAGGTGAAAACAAAAAGGGCAAGAGGAAACATATGGTAGGACGGACAGTTAGTTTGGTAGCAGTGACTGGAAACTGCCAGGAGCATAATTTATAGTGCCTTGACCCTGTGGAGCAAAAGAGGTATGTATGTACCAAGCAGGTGTCCAAGGTAACATACAAGAAACAAAATGACAAGAGAGGGAGGACACACAC